GGTAACCACCACCCAGGCGCGGGGAGGTGACTCCACACGGTCAGCAGACTCAACCCCTGCTGCCTCTGCCCTAGCCTTCATCATTTTCTTTTTTTTTAATTCATATCCCCCTCTTGACAATAGATGGGGTGCATCATTCTTGCTCTGTCATTCTTGGGCAGCTACTCTTTTGGCCTCCAATAATACAAAAAATAAAATTAGATTAATTAAAATAATGATTAAGTATTTGTGTCAACGTAAGAGTTATCAATAACTAACCTGCCAAGAAGGGTCCAATCGAGTGGCACGAAATTGCATCCACTCCTCATCAGTGATCTGGTACTTTAGACAGGGAGTCTCATTTTTTCGCTCTCCAAATACATACTCCCGTGTCAAGAAAGTATTGAACTCTCTCCACCTGGTGGCAAGGGCAGATAACATCTTCCTCCTCATGACCTCAGTGTTGGGAATGTCAAAATTTTGCTATGAAAATAACAACAAATAATAAATAATGTATTTAAGTTATATAATATTAAAAGGATGTGAAAGTATATACCTGAATATCCTGCCACATGAGATTCTTGTCAGCCTCCTGAACGTCATCCCATGATGGAATGATAATAGAAACATGTCGTCGAGCTAGGACTCCCAAATAGCTCTTAAACTTGGCAGTATTTGGGCCTGACGCCTTGCCAGAACGAGGATCCACCTCAACCGGTGTCCTCTCCTTGGCAAAGCGTCCAGCACTCAACCCAGACAATCGGATGACAGATCTACCTTCCTTCCTTCCACTGCCAGACCCCGAATCCTCCATAATCCTGAAAACTGGCCAACATAATATATCATTTCCTGTCATTTTGTATTTAGCTTCACCTTAGGGTGCAGGGATTCTTTAAGTCAAATTTACAGCATATACACAGACATATGACAGTTAGACTTTTTTTTCTGACCAAACAATGCAAATTTGTCACAGACCTATTCCGTACCTTGCAATGAAATGTGAGAACAGTTTTTCTGTACCTTCCAAAATAATATTAACAAAATCTTGCCGAATTCTATTAGGCCTAAACTATTTGAAAGTAATTTTTGTGAAAGAAAATATTAAAATGGCATTAAAAAAAAGATGTGGAGACTTGAACCGACCTTATAAAAATCACCATCCTTATAACCGACCTTGTTCAAATCAACCAAAGTAAATTAAAAAACGGTAGCAAACTTGTAAATAAATAGAAAATACAAACATGTTTACATCAGTTGAGAGGAGAAACGATGTAAAAATAAAATCCAGGAGGTGTTCTACATCGGTTTTATTTACAACCGATGTAGAAATGGAAACCCTAATATTCTCACGCCCAAAGACTCATCATCAACAATCACCCAAACTCCGTGCTGCGGCGTGTGGCGAACATGGCTAGGCAACTCCACCTACGCGAACTTCGCCCCCTTCCTCTCTTTCCCCTCTGCCTGGGACTCCTTCATCAGCTCCACCACTCACATCCTCTCCAACTCTGTGTCTGCGCCCTCGTCTTCGAAAAACCCTTCGTTTCTCTCTCCCTCAACCCTAACCCCTCCCTCCACCTCCTCAACCCTACCTACCTTCAATTGCACGTCGACGACGTATACTTCCCCCTCGACAACGCGCAACATGACTCTAAGGTCCTCCAAACAAAAACCCTACCTCTTCGCTTTCGCTTTCTTTTCGCAGTTACTTACATTCTTTTCTTCCTATTTTCAACACCATTCCAAAATTCCACTACACCTGTTCCCACCTGCACCATTTCTAACCCTCCCTCATTTCTGCACACAATCCGCTACTTTTTCTTCCATTTCCTGATTTCCTACTTTTCCTATTCTCGACAAACACTCATATTTACACTCTTTTTCACCTTTTAAGCTCCTCTGCTCTTCTGGGCACCGCTAAAGGTTCTTATTTTTACCTCTTCTTTAAAAAGAGTGATTTTTATGACGGTGTTGTTGCTCAATGCTCTTTCTATTGGGCTGTTCAAGGCCTTTGATTCATTTGTTTGATGAATCAGTGGGTTTTGGTTTCTGGGTTGGTGCTTGATCTCCTTGGTTGGTTGGTTGTTAGTTGGTGATTTTGAATTGTTCAAGTTTTGTTGAGCTGATGAATTTTTTTTTTAATAATATTTTTTTATGACATTTGTTGGATCTTGGTATTGAAATTTTGAAGTTGGATTTTTGGTCCTAGGCTGTTCTGGTTGGTTGTTTTTGATTTTTTTGTTCTTTTTCTGGTGTTTTGTTTTTTCCTCATGCTTTCTGGCCTGACCGACTCTGAAAGATGATTTATGTGCATGTTGTTTACAGTGTTTTTGAAATCTTTAGCCTTGTTTGTTTGCTTTTCTTCTTCTGGGGTTCTCTGGATCTTGCATTTCTGGATGTGTTCTCTCTGATCAGGTTTTTTACTTTTGAATTTATTGGTGAATTGGCTGGATTGTGTTTTGTTTGCTTTAGTTTTGTGGTGATTACTTTTGAATTTCTCACTTTGCTGGTTTTTCATTTCATCTTCTTCAAGGTTGTTCTGGTGTTTTCCTTACGGAGAAAAATAAACTCACATGGTCTGCTTTTCACCGCAGCATACCACTCGAATCCTTCAAGAGTGGAGCTTGATATGATCATTGATATTGTGGAGTAAGACCCTATTAATTTTGCAAATGCTAAATTTTGCTAGGACCAGAAGTCAGCCAAGGTCTACCAGATCTCTGTCTTTGGGAGGTAAGATTTTAAAATTGATAATAAATAGTGGTATAACTAACTCTCTGTTTATATTGAATCAAGCTTAGGTACTTTAAGCTTTAATCAATTTTAAAACTGTCTTTTCTAGCACTTCAGTATAGGGTAGTTTGGAGTCTTTGGACACTCTTGATGTGGCATATGTTGTTCGTAATTTGTGAATTCATTATTTGTCAAAATTCTGTAATTTATTTTATGTTTTGTTGGTTGTTTACTAATAATTCATCATTACATATCATTATAATTAAATTAATGTTTTAAGATAAATTTATTCTTTTTTCTATTTTTTGTCTTTTAGGCCATCAACCAGAATAATATTTCTTCTCCTTAGATTTTCCATCGTTGCTAAGCCATTATGATGCATCTTCCAACAAAATAATGCAACTTTCAGAGGGATGTCCAACTTCTACAGTGTTTCTAGCACTTCAGTATAGGGTAGTTTGGAGTCTTTGGACACTCTTGATGTGGCATATGTTGTTCGTAATTTGTGAATTCATTATTTGTCAAAATTCTGTAATTTATTTTATGTTTTGTTGGTTGTTTACTAATAATTCATCATTACATATCATTATAATTAAATTAATGTTTTAAGATAAATTTATTCTTTTTTCTATTTTTTGTCTTTTAGGCATGGATTATGTGGATCCAAAAAGGAAGAGCAATTTTGTTGGAAAAGTTCTTCTTGCTGCAGCATTAACAACACTATGCATTATCGTGATCACGAGATCTCCATCTTTGAATTCCCCTAGTCCGGTACCCTATATTCTTATGTGAGTTTTACTTAACAGTGGGTGTGGGTCTTATTCTTTATTTTGCGGGTTTTATTCCCAAATTAGTGGGATATATATGAATTTAAACTGATGGAAGAAAATGTGTTAGAGATTGAGTTGCTTGCACTTCCAATTTTAAATGGATTCTTATTCTAATATTGAAAGTGAAATATTTGATCCTGATTGGTCGGAGGTATGAATAGATGTTGCTAACTCAATCCAGATTATTTGGAAGAAAGCATAGCCTGAGCGGAACCCCTATGTGTTGCAATGTGATGATGGTTACTTATGATTTGTCTGTATTTAACTTCTGATGAAGTTATGCAACTTCTTGAAGTATGCTTGAGAATGAAATACTTATTCCAACAGAGATTTTTTCCATTAATCAAGACATTTGCTTTGGCTGCAGCATAGCTATTTTCTCTTTTGACATTATGGCTTAGATTTTCCTTGGTTTTCATACATGATATTATTTTCTCAAAACACAATTTTTCGTACTTCACTTATGATTGAAGATGTATATATGTAGCATTTTAGATGTGGAGATTCATTTTTGTTTTGGACTTGCAGATTGCGTGCAGAGACTATCCTCATCCGCGGCATTTTTGTGTCAAATTTCCTTATTCTTCCGCCCTTCATGAGAAGCACTGTGACCAAGTAAAGATCATAACTTGTTGCTTAAGGCTATGTCAGAATTTAGTTTTATGTATTAGCTGGTTTAATTGTAATTGTTTGTTATTTTATGTTTGATATTATCCTTCTATCACTCTCTTATGATTTGTCTGTATTTAACTTCTGATGAAGTTATGCAACTTCTTGAAGTATGCTTGAGAATGAAATACTTATTCCAACAGAGATTTTTTCCATTAATCAAGACATTTGCTTTGGCTGCAGCATAGCTATTTTCTCTTTTGACATTATGGCTTAGATTTTCCTTGGTTTTCATACATGATATTATTTTCTCAAAACACAATTTTTCGTACTTCACTTATGATTGAAGATGTATATATGTAGCATTTTAGATGTGGAGATTCATTTTTGTTTTGGACTTGCAGATTGCGTGCAGAGACTATCCTCAACCGCGGCATTTTTGTGTCAAATTTCCTTATTCTTCCGCCCTTCATGAGAAGCACTGTGACCAAGTAAAGATCATAACTTGTTGCTTAAGGCTATGTCAGAATTTAGTTTTATGTATTAGCTGGTTTAATTGTAATTGTTTGTTATTTTATGTTTGATATTATCCTTCTATCACTCTGATTTTTGCTTTCTTTAATGACATTCAGTGCCACTGTTATGTGTGTGACTCAGTAGCACCATGTCTGAAGTAGAAAGTGAAGTAATGGTGTATGTGAATATAAAATTGAATCGTGCAGCTTATTAGATGATATTAATTAATTATTGGTGTCTTGTTGATATATTGAAGGAAATTGTGAATCCCAAGGCTTCAAGGATTTCATGAATGAGAGCAAGTTGATGGATCTTTTGAACAGCTCTTGCCTCAGTTATTCATAATTTTTCTAACCTAAACTACAACCCTAAAAAATCGATAGTAATTTCAGATAAAATCCATAAATATTTCTACTAATACGATGATAACCAGAACGGCCCGTACTGAAACCAGAACGGGTCATTCCAGATACACAGTAAACAAATATTTATGCATCTGGAAAGGCCCGTTCCAGCTGCAATAATTCTTTGTTAATTGTTTATCTGGAACGACCCGTTCTGGTTTCGGAACGGCCCGTTCCAGATCAACAATAAACAAACAAATAAATCAAGCAGAACGGCCTGTTCTGGTTGCAGAAAGGGTCGTTCTAGATGAACATTTAACAGAAAATTCAGAAGTTAATTCGTTGAAGAAAGTTACCTCAAACGTGGAATGTGCAGAATCTTAGAGGCTTAGACAAAGGACGAATGTGCAAACACACGAACTTAGACACTTAGAGATTGAGAGAAGAAGATTGAGAGTTAGATGAGAGAAAATAATACAAAGGGACGCGTGGGAAGTGAAAGGAACGTTGGCATTTTAGTGGCCAATTTACGTCAGACAAGGGGGGTCCGACGTAAATTAGTCAATCTATATTTACAGAACTACCATCGCATTTTTATAACGTCATATTTACATTTTTCTGACGTAAATTAGGTGACGTAATAGCTTATTTTTGCACTAGTGCGACCTTTATTTTAGGTAGATAATTGAACTAAATTTATTTAAATAATCAAGTCTAACACTACAAGGAAAATGATAAATTGCGACGGACAAATTGCGACGGTTATCTAGAAACGGTCGTCGCTTTGATATTGCGACCCTTCATATGACAGTGTTTCAAAACCGTCGCAAAATTGTTCAACATTGCGACGGTTTATCGTAAACCGTCACAAAATTTGTAGAACATTGCGACGGTTTATGATAAACCGTCACAAAATTTGTTTAACATTGCAACGGTTTATCAAAAACCTTCGCAAATTTTGTTGAACATTGTGACGGTTTATGATAAACCGTCGCAAAAAAAAATAAGCATAATTTTATTTTTTTAAAAAAATGCAATCTACATCGGTTCTGAAAAAAACCGATGTAAAAATGAATATATTTTTTACATCGCTCTATTCTACATCGGTTTTAGAACCGATGTAGATGTCTTTAAAGGTCGTTAAAAGGGGGAAAAATGGGTAAGGAGAGTCCACCATAAAATTGTAAGAATACAATTAATCTTTCGGTAAATAATAATGTTCCATCATAAACCACGTAATTTCCTTCCCCACCCTAGCCTACATCTTAAAACTTTTTATGTATTAGCTGGTTTAATTGTAGTTGTTTGTTATTTTATGTTTGATATTATCCTTCTATCACTCTGATTTTTGCTTTCTTTAATGACATTCAGTGCCACTGTTATGTGTGTGACTCAGTAGCACCATGTCTGAAGTAGAAAGTGAAGTAATGGTGTATGTGAATATAAAATTGAATCGTGCAGCTTATTAGATGATATTAATTAATTATTGGTGTCTTGTTGATATATTGAAGGAAATTGTGAATCCCAAGGCTTCAAGGATTTCATGAATGAGAGCAAGTTGATGGATCTTTTGAACAGCTCTGACTATGTCCCGACCTATGAAGACAGGGATGGCAACTGGATGCTTGTCGGTGATGTCCCATGGGAGTAAGTTTTCCTCCACTTGATGACCCTAAATTATTTTGGTTCCAATAATTTGACCTTGTAATAGTTTACAAAGAAAAAGAGCAGGGAACATAAAAGTAGAAAAAAGAAGACACGAAGTTGATATGCACATCGCATTGTTATTTCAAACAAGGATAACGAGTCCTTATCCAAGAAACTTTGCGTAAAAAATTATGCATGTTCGAAGGAAATAATGCGGTGTTATTATCTTATTTTTCTATCATGTCCACGTGCATCAGAATAAATATATCCTTTTATTATGTTGTACCAATTAGTGTTAAGTTTTTGACATTGAACACGCACGTATATAGCATTGATAAACCATAACTTTTTTTCGAAATAGCCTCGAATATATTTATAGTTCCGCTCAATTATTATGTAATTAATAATATCAATATTGATTCTATGTAAACCAGGATGTTTGTTGAATCATGCAAGCGCTTACGTATCATGAAAGGAAAGGAAGCTATTGGACTGGGTTAGTATCTTAATTTACTTGCGTACTTTTACTTTTTACTTAACAAAACACTACATTTAATTATTAGTCATGATTCCAAGTATATATAATTAATCCTTCCATTAATTTAATTAATTAACATGGATGTTCTGTAGAAAGGTTCAAATTTTAATTATTGAAATAAACACATCTGAAAAGAAATTAAACTTGTTTATTGTGCCCCAAGAGCCGTGGAGAAATGCAAGAACAGGAGCTAGACTAGAAGTTACGAGTCCATAACTTGCTCCATTGTCAGTGATGCCCAGTTGACTTAGTAATTGAAGCAAGGTTAAGCTGCAGCAGACACAGATGGACAGAGCAGGGTGTTCAAAATATAGTTATTAATCTGTGTATCATTATGGTTTGTTATATAATATCTTTAATAATTTGCTTGTCTGTTGTAGCTATATATTTTTTGTGGCTCTGTTGTGGCTATTTGTGAAAAAATAAGCATAATTTTATTTTTTTAAAAAAATGCAATCTACATCGGTTCTGAAAAAAACCGATGTAAAAATGAATATATTTTTTACATCGCTCTATTCTACATCGGTTTTAGAACCGATGTAGATGTCTTTAGAGAACCGATGTAGAATATGCATCTTGTAGTAGTGTCTCAATCATCTCTATCTCTTTAACCGTCATCATTGATGCATGTAAAGGCATCTATATTAGAGAATGTAACTAAAAGTCAGTCCTCCAAGAAATCCCATCCAAATATTTCGCCTGAAGTCTAACACATTTTGGTCAAATAGGTATCTTGCACCATACAAGTAGTATCTCTATATTTTCAATGCAAACATTAAAACTATTAAAATTAAAAAATTTATAATTTTCGACAGGTAAAAAAAGAGTCGTAATATTAATTTAGAGGCAGTTGGTGCGACAGTTGATGAAAGGGTTGTAGACACCCAATTTCTTCCGAGAACATACAAACAAGGAAATGGACCTCTGTTATGAAGGGAAGAAGCTCCCGAAGCACGCAAACAACAAGATAGGACTTTAGAAGGCCCAAAAAGCCCAAATAATCTAATTTTAGAAGACTGGAACGGGCTGTTCCAAAAAACCAGAACAGGCCGTTCCCAATTTCGAAAGGGTCGTTCCAAGTTTTTAAAAGGGCCAATAACCCTAATTTGGAACGGGCTGTTCCTAAATTGGAACCGGTCGTTCCAAGATTGGAACAAGCCGTTCCAAACTCTTCAAAAGAGGGCTAAAACTTTAACTAGAACGGGCCGTTCCCAAACTGGAACAGCTCGTTCCAAGTTATAGAAAAGGCCTAAAGATGCTTGTTGGGAACGCCCGTTCCAGGCCACCAAAGGATGTGTTAATTTT